GGGTCCAGGCGTGCCCTTGGGCATCCCGCCTCGGGTAATTATCCTCCGCCCTAATTGGAGATCTCGAAGGATTTGGGTGTTTTCCCACGGTAAAAGCATTATTAGGGCATCCGCAGCAATAGGTGAGGAATAACTCTGGAAAACATGAATACGTGACTTTGCAGCGGAAGGTGAGGATTCTAATCAGCAGAGTATTTGTGGTTGGGGATTGCATTTGTGGAATGTACAGGGGCCAGAGCGAAGCTTGGTGGCTTTTAAGTTGCTTAAAGAGGGTTTGCAAACATTCTGCGTGTTGGTCCTGCAAGGTCACATCGTCTGATGAGTGAGGAAAAAATAGAAGGATTTTGTTCCTCTCTTCATAGGTTCTCATCTGCAGGAATTACCGTGGAGATGTGGACATGTCGGAGGTGGAGCATTTTATGCCGATCCTTATGGAAAAGGAAGAAGAGGGGACGCTTTCTCCCATTCTAGCACACGGAGGAGTTCGTTTTATGTGGATTAAACATAACAACCTCTATCGTATCCTTTCTGCTGCAGGTGCCTCACGTGTGCTGAAGCGCCCAGTGTTGCCGTGTTATTTTTGATGTTTGTGTGTGAATGCAAAGCTAGAGAATGGGTGAAATGACATAAGGAGGCTCTGTTAAATAAAGTCCTTTTATGCTGGTGTCGTGTCACCAGCTCAGGGTGCTGAAAGTGTTTATGTTAGTTTGACTCTAATAAAAGATTTCCTGAATGTTTATCTCTTTGCTGTTAATTATTCAACTCCTAGGGGATTTTTTTGGCTGACTCTGATTGCCTAAAGGCTTTGCAAAATGCAGTTAGTAAACACTTTTTTTCTGAACGTGTGTTCCTGAACTGCCTTTATCAGTTGTTGCAACTTCTAAGAAAAATGCTTGTGTATCACTGGTGTTTTCATTTTTATATAAAGTAGTTCAGGTGAGTATGAGATTTCAAAACCTCCGTTTGCTTTTCAGTTCAATCCAAGTCTGCCTAAGAAGCACACAGTGCTTCCGCTTTTTAAAAAAACTCCGTGGTAATGGCATTTTTACTTTGTATTTGATTATTTTGTAGAGCTATCTCCCTAACCACTAATAACGGAATTGATATTTTGTAGCTGAGTAGGCAAAGGATGTGACACGGTGCCGTAAGTAGTTTCACAAGGCCTGAGAACCCGGCGGAGGATTGTGAACGTGGTGCATGAGTAGTGGCGTATCGCCTCCGTTCTGTGTTTGGATCATCTGTATCTGGCTTGAAAAATATTTTCTCCAGAATAAATATTTTTCATAATAATTAGAGTTGCTTCTGGGCTTCTCTAGCTCTCTTTTAATTGAGATTTGGGTTTTCTCTGAACAGAATGCTGTTTGTGAGTTATAGGGTTTGGTTTGGGACTTTTTAAAGATGATTTCAGAGGCAGGAATACATTCTGAATGTGCTGTGTGACCTCAGCTAACGTCCTCCTTCTTACCCTCCTACTCTTGTCATTTTGTTTCAGGTTTTTTCTGAATATTTCAAGGAATTGGAAGAAGAGAGCATTAGGGATAATTTTGTTATTATTTATGAGTTGTTAGATGAGCTTATGGATTTTGGTTATCCACAAACCACTGATAGTAAAATTTTACAAGAGTAAGTATCATTCTGTGTCGCTTAGTGACACGCTCCTTGGAAAGTTTGGAGCACTCTTCCATATGCAAACAGATGTTTTGGCTTGGATGAATTGTTACAAAAAATAATTTTTGGTTTTTTTCATGCCAATTCCGTGGCTGTAAAGGTACATCACTCAGGAAGGCCACAAACTTGAAACTGGAGCTCCACGCCCACCTGCCACTGTTACAAATGCTGTTTCGTGGAGATCAGAAGGGATAAAATACAGGAAAAATGAAGTGTTCCTGGACGTTATAGAGTCTGTTAACCTTTTGGTGAGCACGTTTAACTTTTCATGAGAATTAGGTGACATCCAGTAGACAAATAATGCTTTACTCGGGTTCATCACTGATTTCTGATACATCCTTTCTCCTTCCATCTTGCCCACGGCCTCCCTGATCTAATTCTGCCCCACTGGATTAATTTCTCAGGAGAAAGACATCCAGGAAAACTTGGGACGTGGGGATGGGAGCGTTGCTGGATGTCTCAACGCATCACATCAGGGCAGTCTTACCTTTCTCCTCGTTTTTGTTCAGGTCAGTGCCAACGGAAACGTGTTACGGAGCGAGATAGTCGGATCCATTAAAATGCGAGTCTTCCTCTCGGGAATGCCGGAGCTGCGCCTTGGTTTAAATGACAAAGTTCTCTTTGATAATACAGGCCGTGAGTATTTTGGTGATATCTCAATAATCGTGAAAGATCTTAACTTGAAGTCTTGAGTTTTGGGCTGCGTGAGGTTCAGCTCAAGGGAGGAATAGCAGCAGGGAAGCTGCTTTGCCGAGTAACGGGCTGTGGTGAGACTTGGGATGTAAATTGTGCAGCACCTTGAGATGCGTATTTTCTGCTAGGTGGCAAAAGTAAATCGGTAGAGCTGGAAGATGTAAAGTTCCACCAGTGTGTTCGTCTCTCTCGCTTCGAAAACGACAGGACGATTTCTTTCATTCCGCCTGACGGAGAGTTTGAACTCATGTCCTATCGTCTTAATACCCACGTGAGTCTGGATGTTTGGGGGTTTTTGATAACATTTTAGATTGTGGATAGAATTGCTAAGGGCTTTGCCTTAATTTTTATTTTTTTCTTAAAGTACAGGCAATGTAGTCGGTTTCAAGCCAACTGTTAATAGCGAGGCTTTGTGCTCACTCTGGTTCTGACGTAACTGTTCCCGTGATGACTTTTTTTAAAGTAACTGGGTGATAGAATGACAGTGTAGCAATTCCTTGTGCTTGACAATAGCCGTATTTCTGTCATTTGATTTTGTTAGAGTACACTAGCCATAGTGAGAAGGTTAACTTTCCCTTCTGAAAATGGAAAATTCGATATAGACGAAATCTGTAAAAATGTGACTGTGTCAGGAGACAAAAATTGAGAAGTTTGGAATTGATTTCTTTTTATTTTAAAGGCAATAGTTTGAATAGGAGTTCTTCTTTTTAGGGCTTGTCGTAGTGTGTTAAATTACCAAATATTTTGAAATATAAGTGTTGGTTATTAGGGATTAATCTGAGACATACCTTTTTCAGCCTGTAATTCTTGTAACACTTGGCTGTTTGTATATCGATGCTTGCTCATCTTTACAAGTTTTCGTATTTTTTTTAAATAAAAACACAACTTGTTTGTCATTTCGAACACCACAGACTTTCTGTTTTCTGCGAGTCTCACGTGTTGAGTGTAGCTTTGTGGGGAAGCACCGTTTTCATCACCGTGTCAGAAGTAAAACCTACAGCTGTTGAGTGTTTTTCTTTCCCCGTTAGGTCAAACCACTGATCTGGATTGAATCTGTGATTGAAAAACATTCCCACAGCCGCATCGAGTACATGATCAAGGTCAGAAGTTCTAAAATAATTATGGCCAATTTTAGTCTTCTCTTTCATTTGTTTTCAAAGTGTGACCAGCATTTTTGCATGAGTATTTATTATTTCTGTGGGACTTGGGTATTTTTGAAAACTTCGGTTACAATCTCGGTGTTGCGGTTCTGTTTCTCGCTATGTAGATCGGGGTGGAGGGGATTTGTGTGTCTCGCAACTCTCTGCACTCACGAGCATGATGGAAATAGTTAGAGGCCTGCTTTTTCTGGTTTATTTTTTTTTTCCTTCGTTAGGCAAAAAGTCAATTTAAGCGTAGATCGACTGCCAACAACGTGGAGATTCACATTCCAGTTCCAAACGACGCAGACTCGCCAAAGTTTAAAACCACTGTTGGAAGTGTCAAATGGGTTCCAGAGAACAGTGAAATTGTCTGGTCCATTAAATCTTTTCCAGTAAGTGTTATTTTTGGTCTTATCGCCTAATAGTGTAGTAATTACTTAATATGAAAATTTTATGAATGTTCACGCTCTGTCTAAAGCAAAATCTAATGGTCTCAGACAAGTAGTGCAGTTCTCTTCTTGTTTTCCCTTGAATGAAGACTTGGAACTTGCTAATCGATGTTTGAGATACCATTGTTTATATTTTTTTTTTGTTTCAGCTGGGATAAGTTTTCAGAAGTAGGTTAGAGAGCAGATTTTTGAGCGATGTCTGAGGATGGTGTAATCCTTTGGCCTGGGATTAGCAGCAGCTGGTTTAGTTTGTCAGATTCTGCTGCTTCTTGGGTGGTTCCGTGAGAGTGAGCTCTTCCAAATGCTGATGATGCGGTAGTGCAGCCCTCTGGCACCGTTCCGTCACAACGGTCGGTGGCACCAGAAAGCTTTTATTTTTGTTTGTTCTCCTCTTGTCTTTGAGTACGAAGCTGGTCTTAATTTGATCTACGTCTTAAAAAAAAAAAATATTCGTTTTTAAAATAAAAGCAAGCGTTCACTTTTTGAGCCCTACGGAAGAGATGAAATGAAAAGTGGAGTTTGGCAATTTGACATTAAGAAAACAACTTCTTGGATTCTGCGGGGGGATGAGTTGTTTCGTTTGTTTCTTTGTTGGTTGATTATGGGTTTTTTTTAAATTCCATCCCTTTGGGATAGGGTGGAAAAGAATACCTGATGAGAGCTCACTTTGGACTTCCAAGTGTTGAAGCCGAAGATAAAGAAGGAAAACCTCCCATTAGCGTAAAGTTCGAGATTCCGTATTTCACCACTTCAGGGATCCAGGTTAGTAGTTAAAAAGAGAAATACCAATAAGCCCACATACCAGGCTCTTAACACACAAGTTTTCCTCACCTTCTTGATGATTCCTGCACAGCATTATCCCTAAAACAGATTTTTGACCCCTAAAAAACCCCATTCTATTCTTCTTTGCTAAATGCTGCTTGGCTTGACATGGGAGACTTTATTTCTTAGCGTATCTTTCTGTCCAGGTTCGCTATTTGAAGATAATCGAGAAGAGTGGCTACCAGGCTCTGCCCTGGGTTCGATACATTACCCAGAACGGAGGTAAGTGGAACGCAATACGCTGTGTTTTGTTTCTCCAGCGTACACCCACAAATTGAAACGCGCAAAACCAGTTTGCTCCTACAGTTTAGATATGTGTTAGGTTAAGGTGTGCTGCTTCTTCCAGTCTTAGTGAAGATGGGATAGTTCAGTAACGCTGTTCAAGAATGGTGCAGTTAAGCAGCGACTCCACAAAGTTTTTTGAATATAATTTTAAAAGAAATTGCACGCACGTATCGTTCTGCCAGCTTTAAGACATGTAAGAAACTGTCTACTGTAAGATACTCGATAGTCAGCAAGTAAACGTGGCAGGGTGAGTTTTTGGTCTTCTGCTTTTTCTTGGTTTTCTAATCTAACTTTTCCTGACGTGGAAGCACAACTGCCTGCAGTTACTTGAAGAGCTCATTATTGTAGCCATTCTGAGCAAAGATCTGCTTTTATTTTGTATCACTTTGTCTCAATTTGCTGATCTGCTTTACTAATTTTAGTGAGATGATCTACTAAAACACTTTTTTTTTTTTTTTTTAATTTATTTTAATTTTTCCCCCCCTTTACAGACTACCAGCTTCGAACACAGTAGAGCACCTCACCCGCACCACAGACGACAAAACTTCCGGCATAGAATTTGTTTGCAGAAGCTTCTGTGGTACCGAGAGCTGTGGATGTTGTCGCCAGGGGTCTTGTTTCTGCAATCTTGGATTGGCAAGAGAAAGATTGGAAATTTACCGTTTTCAATAATGTGTTTGAGCATTTGAACCATTAGTATTGATTGTGTGAATATTTATTTCATTCTTAGAACGTGCTGATCTTGCTGCTAAATGCTAATTACCTTAGGAGTAGCGGTTACCTTGAGGAGCCAGGATGAACCTTGAGAATGTCTTGTCGACGCCTTGTCTGTTAAATTCACCAAGTTTCTAGCATTTGTGTTTTAGGATCTCTGAAGACATTGGCAGCGTTACGCTACAAATTAGGGAGATGATTGTGCAATTAAATGACTGCTGAACACTTAGTTGTATTTAGCCCAAGGTATTTATTTTTTTTTCTGGGCATATGGGTGCCTTAACTCATTCAGAACTCTGTTAACTTATAAAAAAAAATTACAGAATGTGAGTTAAAACTATGTGAAATCCAAAAATACTGTTTGCTCTTTCTGCACGGTTTCGAACCAGTTAGTCTGACAGAATGACTTCAAGTGAAGGGTTGGGAAACAAAAAATGTGGGTTTGTTAAAGGCGAAGTTAACTGAGAGCAAGGGATCGCAGAAGTAAATGTCTCTGGGAACATCTCAGTGGAAGCACGATGATTGCCAGCTCAAGTTAGTCAGAACAGACTGAAGAGTTTCAACCCTGTGGTACCCCTAGGGCATGGAAACCCTGTGCCAATTCACTAGTACTTGCTTTTTTCTTTTTTGTTTATTTTAAATTTCTCTTTGTAAAACGAGTTCGAAACTGTAATACACGGGCAAAAGAATTTAGATCAAAGATCCAAACTTTGATAGGAAGATTATTGTTTTTCCAGGTAATAGTAGTGTACTCCAAGCTCTTCCTGAAAATTGCCTGGTTTTTTGTGGAAAGGCTCATAAAGATACAGTTGCCATCTTCCAGCTTGCCTTTGTGTTAATTTAGGGCAAATACTTCCCATTTTTGCTGTAGTTTGCTATTTGCCCTGAGGGGAATGCTTGCTTTCTCAATCTATTCCATTTGTAAACCATTACTACAGCTCCCTGGCAGAAAAGATGATGGTTCAGAATGTTACACTTAAAGGTATTATTTTTTTTTTACATGCCGTTTCATTTTTTTTCTGATAAGCTAAGATTGGCATGGGTGTACATAGTCATTTGGATTTTTTCAGAGAAATTTTTGACGATTGTCAGTATTTTCTTTTCACAATTTTTGAATGTTCGGGTTTGAATTTAGCGCTCCTGACAGATGCTAAACTCAGACCATCAAAATCTAAATATACGTATGTCCGCAAACGTGATGTAACGTGCCGCACGCAAGGTTCTCCGCGCCGTTTGGTCGACAGTCCTGGACTCTCCCGTGAGACTGAGGAAGGATTTCAGTCGTCCCCACTAAATCCTTGTAGGCTATGTAGAGAGAGAGGTACCTGTCTGTACAGTCTGTACCGTGAGCAAATTCCCCAAAACTAACTTCCCCTGAGCTGCCGCTGCCATAGCGTTACAGCACGACCCGTGGCGGAAGGGACTGATGTCTGAAGGCGTCCAGGCAAGAACCGGGGCAGCCACGGGTGTGGATTTGTATATTCTGGAATAAGGTTACTGGATTTGTCACCAAATGAGCGTGATGGTGAAACAAATTAAATCATCTTGTTCAAGAGTTTGGTTCCACTACTCGTTTTCATTTGAACAATTAAGCTTTTGACTGGACTAAACCTTTTTATATTAAAACGGTAACTGGTTGACAAATGGCGTTCTGGTGACTGTTCTTCAAAGTGTTTGCTTTTATTATTTGCCTGTAAAATGTGACTCTTCAGAGCTTCGTTTGTTTTCCTGTTGAAGGTTGTATCTTGCGGACCAGAACAGTGTTTTCTCCTATTTTGTTGCAATTTGACTCTGTTTTGATGCTGGGGCATCAGCCATGCTTGTCTGGGAAGTAATAAAGGGCAAAAAGTCCTCCTTGAATCAGTTGCCTTTCAGTTGTTTTTTTTCAGTTTGATCAAGCTTCAGCCTCGAATCTTGGCGTGCCCTCGGCTGTTTCACTGTGAGGCCTGGATAAGAACGGAACTTCTTAAAAGCTGCAAGTGTTTATAGTCCTGATTTGTTTCTCAAATTCTGCTGTTCTCTGGAAAATTTGCCCATGCACCACAAACGTAGTGCTCATGAGCACTCCGTTTAGAAAGGAAGAAAAAACCACCCAAAAAACCCCCAAAGCACTTCTTCATCCATTCGTTGTCAAAATGCAGAGTCCCAGTTCTAGCCCTAGCTCTTGTTCAAGGAGTAACTTTTTGGGGGGGGGGATAAGTTTTGTTCTAGAGCAGCTACTAAATCGTATCTTGGTGGCTTCTGTTCTCTTAATGTGGAAAAATGTAAATTTGATGGTCTGCCGCTAAGCACCCGATATAAAACACTTCCAAAAGAATTTGCATAATTCAAATAAGCAGCAAAGCGTCTCATCTGGTTTTTTTCAGCTCACTGTGGTTTCATAACTGTTACCTGGAATTTGAAAAGACCGAGCTTTTTAGGTGGCTCGGAAAAAAAAGATCCTCCTGCTACTAGCCAGCAAATGATTTGATGATCTCCACAGCCCTGGTTTTGTTTGTAAGGAGCCGACTCGGCTGATTTTTTTGTTTCCCCAGCGAGGAATATTTCAACAGTAGGAACCATCCCCCCCTCTCCCTCCCCAGGCAAGCAAAACTGCCGCCTCATCGACGCGGTATTTAATTGCGAACCGATTAGATTGACGTTCCTCAAGGTGCGTCAGCGGCGCTGCCCTGTCGCAGTAAACAGGTGCTTTTATTTCCTGTCCTGGTGGATGTGATATCTCAGCTTTCTTAGGATGAAAGGTTGCAACAACCTCTTAGGTCATTTATTCCTTTATTGCCCCAGTGCCCTGGCCAGCGCTGCCAGTAGATGGCATTGGGAGCACGCTGCACACCTCCGGCACCTACAGATAACACCTCTTTTGAGTTGGAAGGTCTTTTTAGTTCCTCTTGAGTTCATTACAAAAATATATATATAATTTTAACTATTTTTTTTAGGCTTACGACTTTGATTGCTGCAGTTCAGTAACTTCTCGTTTTAGTGTGATGGTTCTCTTAAATTTTTCTTTCTTTCCGTTGCTCTCACACAGCCACTAATGGCAATTCCGTGGCACAGAGCTGAGGGCATCGGCGCAAAGGGAAGGGACGAGCCGCGCTGCAGGAACAGCTCCTCGGAGCCGGACTGTCCCAGTGGGCATTGCTGGGTCACAAAGCAAGACTCACCCAGAGGTCTGGTAGCTTTTGTGTGATGCAATGTGTGAAAGAGAGTATCTATTCACGAGGAGGTTTTTTCCACTTAATTAGAGAAAGCTTGGTCTGCCAGCTGGGGACACTCTTTTTGTTGGTTTTCCTTGGCGTGTTTCTCTTCCTTGTTGCCATCCTTTCATGCCTGTGCACTGCCGGGACTGCTTGTATTTTCTTCTCTGCTCTAATCTGAACTGGTTTTGTCTGTAAAACATCCTCACACATGAAGAGAGACAATAAGACTTCATCCGTTGTGGGTTTGTCTCGGGTTAAGAGATTGCACCTGTTTATTTCTGAATTCACGTTCTGTGACGAGAAATGGGCTAAACCTTGGCACCTCTATCTTTATCTTGTGCCAAGTGCAGTGTGTTGCAATTCGTTCAGCGCTTTTTTTTTTTTTTTTCCCCTCTTTGCGGTTGACACCCACTGCTCTTCGTAATTTCAGCAGCCCTGGCACCGTGAGGCTTGACGGCCTTGCAGAAAATAGCGTGACAGAGCAAAGTTAAGGGACGATATGAACAATCTTAATTGCGGCGGTAATTAATTATACAGCAGTGTCATTTATGCTACAGGCGAAGTTGTGCTGAAATCACGAACGGTCGTAAACCTCTTTTTCCACTGAATTTTGTGCAATCCAGAGTGTTCTACGAGTCATGCCCTCCCCTACGCACAGATAAACTTGTTTCTCTTGTAGTTGTCTTGACTCAGCGTTTATGAAAGCGCGTTTCGTCACATTTCTCGCTGCAGTCAGATGCAAGAGGTTCCCTTTTGTAGTTATTTCACTTTGGCATCAGCGCGTTGATTGAAGATTTTGGGTCTTTGAGGCGACCATCGCTCTGGGCAGCAGCGGGTCCAGCTCTGCTCTTTGCAGAGTTCCTGAGCAGAAGAGAGAAATGTGTTTTTAAAGATAGGACTTGCAGCTACACTCGGTTCTGTGTTTGTTCTGAAAACGAAGGATTCTTGGTTTATGAGGATGTGTTCTGGGCTAAGTTCCCGGGAGCTTGGTGCAAGCAGCCATCTGAAATTGAGATCGGCGATCGCCCTTGCAAAATCCAAGGCAGCGCAGGGGAAGATTAAAGCTGCTTTTCCCACTTCAGCTGTTCTGCCGCTCTGTGGTTGTTGGCAGACTGGTTGAACCAGAGGCTTTGGATAATTTTGAGTTTAATATCAGAAATTATGCCCGGCTTAACTTTATGACCTCTCTCTCCCTCCTCCTTCCCCCTTCAAGCTGCCAGCATCTCTTTATGCTTGTTCTGGTCTTGGCACCCACCTGCCCTGGCGGTTGCAGCATCGCACTGATGCAACTTGGTTGTGCTGTAGGTGGAATTACTCCGGGTTATGCTCCAAAAAAAATTACGGACTCGAACCTGGAGCCTCTAAGTTCATTTGCAGGCTGATGGTCAAATAAATAAGCAGAAACAGCCCTGAATCAAATGATCAGCAACGTGAAGAACAAGACGCTCCCAAAGTCAGCGTGCTGGGCTCCGGCCTGTTCTGGAGAAAGTTTTGTAGGCTTAGTTCAAATCTTGGCTGTGGATTTGTACCTTGGATCAAAGTTTTGTTGCAGGCCCTTCTCCAATATAAAGCAAAGAAACGTAAAACAACAAATATCTCGTGAAATCCAAACACAATCTGCTCGATGTTATGCTACAAAAATGAATGAACTCTGCCTCCCACCCTCTCCCACTGTGACTTGCTGTGAATAAGCACTGCTCAAAGGAAACTATCGCAAGAAGCTCTGCCTCTTTCCAGCAGGAA